GCAACCTGGAACGCAGGGTAGAAATCCAGTTAGTCAGGACAGGAAGAAGCAAAGCAGATGAGTGCTTGTCTCACTACCCCTCCACCCACCTCAAGGGGAAACAGTCTAACCAGGCTTCATCCAGCCTGTATCCCCAGCCAAAACAAAATTATCTGCCAGTTCCTGAGCCCCAGCAGAGGGCTGAGTTAAACGGGTTACCCTGCTGAAATGCAAATATATGCAAAATGTACCTACCTCCTCTGAGCATCAAGAGCAAACACACACAGCTGAAGTCATCCGCACCTGGGCGGGCCATTCCCCTGAACAGGCTTCAGAGCTGGTCTACTTTCCTGCTTTTCTAGTCTATGGCCCAACTTCCCTAACTTGTTACAGTCATGGGGCCCCGCTGCCGCGTTTTCCCTGCCCCCAGCTTCCTCCACGCCAACAGCTATAGCTCACACATCTCCTGCGGATCAGGGTGCTCCTCTCAATGGTCAGTGCCTGGATGGGAACTGTCCTGCACACGGAAACGAGGCCCAGCATCTCGCTTCCTCTTTGTTTAAAAATCTATTCCTTACGAGCTACAATGGTTCCAAGAACAAGGTTGCGGGTAATTATATTTTCCCTCTGCCCCATCCCATGTTGCAGAGTCAATGTGTGTAGGCCACAACAATAGTTCTAGTAGGATAGAACTGGTATGGTAGTTATGTGTGAGGCACTATTTGAGTACCTCGCAGGTATTATTTCATCTAATCCTCAAAATAACCCCACCAGGGAGGCATTATTATCTTCATTTTTGGATGAGAACACTGAGACCCAGGAAGATTATGTGTCTTGTATAACATCACAATTTATAGACGATGCATGTGGGATTCAAACCCCAATGTTCACTGCAGGACTATTTACAATAGCCAAGACATGGAAGCAACCTAAATGCTCATCGACAGATGAATGGATAAAGAGGATGTGGTACATACATACAATGAAATACTACTCAGCCATAAAAAAAGAATGAAATAATGCCATTTGCAGCAACATGGATGGGCCTGGATATTATCATACTAAGTGAAGTAAGCCAGACAGAGAAAGATACACATCATATAATATCGCTTATATGTGGCATCTAAAAAAAACAAAAAAGATACAAGTGAACTTATTTCAAAACAGAAAAAAAATCATAGACATAGAAAACAAACTTATGGTTTGTTTTCAAACAGGAAAGGGGAATGGGCGGAGGGACAAATTAGGAGGTTGGGATTAACATATACACACTACTATATATAAAATAACCAACAAGGACCTACAGTATAGCACAGGGAACTCTACTCAATATTCTGTAGTAACCAATATAGGAAAAGAATCTGAAAAATAATGGATATATGTATATATATAACAATCACTTTGCTGTACACCTGAAACTAACACATTGTAAATCAACTATACTTCAATATAAAATTTAAAACATTTTAAAAAGATATCTGTAAAGATGAAAATGTAAAATACTCAAATACCATAGAACTGAAATAAAGATACACGGTGAACATCAAAGAAAAAAACACCAGGGCATCTGACTCAACAGTGTGAGGGAGGGGGAGGTGATGGGAGAAGTCCGCCTGGATGCAGGTGGAGAGAATTTAAAACTAATAATAAAACCAATTAGAAGTCAGATGGCTTTTTATTATCACCATAAGCAATTTTCAACAATGCAGTGAAGAAATATTTTTCCTCACTTGGGTGAACCACTCCCACTGTCTTATTAGGCTGGATGATTCAATATCTGTGCTTAACACTGGTGCAGCCGTAGTACAACTCTAAGGAAAGCCCAGCTGGGAAACTGAGGATGGCAGAACAAAAAGGTGGAAAGACCATATGGGTTTTTAAAAAATTACTGTGGTAAAATATACATAAAATTTACATTTTAACCATACAATTCAGGGGCATTAAATACATTCACAATGTCATACAAACATCACCACTACCCTTTTCCAGAACTTTTTCATCATCCCAAACAGAAACTTTGTACCCATGAAACATGACTCCCTATTCTTCCCTCTCCCCTGTCCCTGGTCACCTCTCTTTTTTTTTCTCTACGGATTTGCCTACTCTAGGTACCTCATATAAATGGAACCATACAGTATGTATCATTTTGTACCTGTCTTTTTTCACTTAGCATTGTGTTTTCAAGGTTCATCCACGTTATAGCATGTATGAGAATTTTATTTCTCTTTAAGGTGGCACAATATTCCACTGTATATAAGAACTGGGTTTTTAATGACACCTTTGAGGCACCATACCTTAGGGGACCTAATGTTAGGTGAGATAGTAAGTTTACCTTATAGTGTAAAAGTCACATGGCACCGGCTTTTCTGTTTCTTACAGCTGAAAGAATCCTGACACACAAGGCACAACTCAGGTTTTTGTTTTTTTTTTTTTTTTTGCGGTACGCAGGCCTCTCACTGCTGTGGCCTCTCCCGTTGTGGAGCACAGGCTCCGGACGCGCAGGCTCAGCGGCCATGGCTCACGGGCCCAGGCGCTCCGCGGCATGTGGGATCCTCCCGGACCGGGGCACGAACCCGTGTCCCCTGCATCGGCAGAGGGACTCTCAACCACTGCACCACCAGGGAAGCCCATAACTCAGGTTCTTCTGTGAAGGTCCAGGGTGGGCAATGAGACCCACAGACAACCAAAATGGATGCTCTCCAGCATGTGGCAAAATTTTACAGAATTTCCCTCTAAGTCTGAATCTATACACGTGTACACGCGTATACACACACTCACACGACTAGCGTCACACCTTTACCTCTTCTCATCCTCACTTTAGCTATTTTGATAATCTCTTATTACAACGTTTAATTTCAGCATAGACAGTTATTCAGTACTTAACATCTTTATTCATCATAAAAATATATATATGTAACTTCAAATCAAGTGAGACATTGTGCCTGGTGCTCTGTGGAGGAGTACAGATTGATGCCTCTTTTCAAAACACTTCTCCACAGTCTTCACTGGACTTGGAAATAATCAAGCTTAGTCAAAGGTAAAAAACACTTATTTAAAAAATACCATCCAGCATTAAATGTGCCAACTTTGGCAGGCAGGCAGGGTGAGTGGTTAATGTTTTATTTGTATATGAAATTGGAGATACAGGAAGCAGTGTGGCAAAAAAAAAAAGAATGCTTATCATTAGAACTGAAAGAAAAAGTGAGTAGTATGCTAATATGATAGAAGGGAACTTTGAGTCACCACACAAAGAGAAGAATCTCATCTTTGATAAGTACTAGTAGTGGGGGAGGTTTGACTTATTTGCAGGATTATGAAACGTGTTGATTCATAACTATGAAGAGGCAGACTGTAGAAAGCTGTGAGCAGACCCTAGTGTTAGTAGGGGATATGGAGAAAGAAAAATAGGGCAGAATGTTTTTGCTCAAGGGTCCCTAGAAAAAAATTTAAAAATTAAAAAAAAAAATCTGAGGGGCTTCCCTGGTGGCGCAGAGGTTGACAGTCCGCCTGTCGATGCAGGGGACGCGGGTTCATGCCCCGGTCAGGAAAGATTCCACATGCCGCGGAGCGCCTGGGCCCGTGAGCCATGGCCGCTGAGTCTGCGCGTCCGGAGTCTGTGCTTCGCATCGGGAGAGGCCGCAACAGTGAGAGGCCCGCGTACCACAAAAAAAAAAAAAAAAAAACTGAGTAAGCACGTATTGTAATATTTTTCTGTGACTATAAAAATGTAATGGGAAGCATTAGAAATCAATTACACTGTAAACATATACAATATCCTTTCATCGTGAGCATATATATGAAGCCTCCTGCAACTATTATAAAATCACGTTATAAAATTCTACCTTTTTTTTGCTTGTTCCCTTTTCTGGTTCCTAGTTATTCACATTCTGGGAGAGGACAAAGGCCTTTACAGATTCATCAATCCAATCCTTTCTTTTCACAGATAAAGGAGGGTAAATAGCTTGCCCGCGGTCCCATTCATCCTCAGTGAAAGAGACTGGACTAGAACAACCAGGTCTCCTGATTCCCATCTGGTGCTTTTCTCATTACAACATGACCTGATTCACACGCCGCCTTGTCCCTGGTCTGTACCTGGTGGTTCTCCCTCAATCTCAGCTGGCGCAGAAGGGCTGTGAAAGACAGGACCCGGTCCTCTTGGGGCCTCTGGTTTGCTATGAGCGTGGGGCACTAGAAGAGGACGCCAGAAAACGCATCGCCCACTTCTATCCCAAGTCTGAAAGTGATCTACAACACACACACACACTCACACACACACACACACACACACAGTGTCAGGCTCTGTGATCACCTAGCTGAGAAATATTTCCTTGATAGGGCATTGTGTGAGAGAGGAATTTTTAACAGCTGCCATAGGAGAGGTTATTGATTTTAAAGGAGAACATCTGGCCTAGGATACATACACCTTTCAGAAGCTCCTGGTCACACACAATGACCAACAATGGAGAGCTTCCAGCTCCAGGGGTCATGTCAACACCAGGCACGAGGCACGAAGTCCCTGACCACAATACCATCAAATGGGCCACTAATCAGTGGTGGGAACTGCCTCCAAATATGCAAATTCCAACAGAAAGGAAACACATTTGATTGGATTCTTCTCCCCCCCCCCCCCCGCGCCCGTACGCGGGCCTCTCACTGTTGCGGAGCACAGGCTCCGGACGCGCAGGCTCAGCGGACATGGCTCACGGGCCCAGCCGCTCCACGGCAGGTGGGATCCTCCTGGACCGGGGCACGAACCCGCATCCCCTGCACCGGCAGGCGGACTCTCAACCACTGCGCCACCAGGGCAGCCCCTGATTGGATTCTTTTAAAGAGCCCTACCATTCTCACATCTATTTTGGGTTTCATATTTATCAGCACTCAACATTCTAAATGTTCTAGTCTGGCTATCCCTATTTCTGGGTGACAACACCGGGAACACTTTATTGCAACATTCATGAGAGGTGCCTCGAAAGTGAGGGCGCTCGGATCTCTCGAGGCCATTTTTTTCTGCGGTTCCTTTGAGAACAAAATCAGTGTTATTGTATTTTTTAAATGTCTATCATATAAGGTTTTGATCAAGTTCAATACGAGGAATATGAATTTAAAATATCCTTTGTTGTAATCATGAACTAGGAAAACTGAGAGGAAACAGTTCTTTTTTTTTTTTTTGGAAACAGTTCTTGAAACTCTGACAATTTCAAGTTTATGGAAACATTGAAAAGTACCACAATTCTATAGACTGTCCTGCAGAAATTTATCTTTCTTGGGCTCCATAAGTTTCTGTAAGAGTAAGGTTCTCTTTCATCTAAACTCTTCCTAGAAATTTGCTTTCTCAAGTGGAGATAAATCATTTGTTTTACAAAACAAGAGCCTGTTGTGTGTTGTGTGTTCCGTCTCAAGCAATAAATTGCCTTTGTACCGTATTTCTGGTCTCTTTCCATATAGCCCGCTGTATCCTATATACAGAATCCTGAAAAATCCTTTCCACTTGTGTAGGAAAGCCACGACTTTCTTCCTCCAGGGCGTTGATGGTTCGCAGAGCAAAGGGAGTCCTTTCTCGGGGCAGGGGGTTGTTCAGCGGCCGCATGGGGATGACGGAGTTGTACTTGTGCTGCCTGTTAACAGAGTTCATGAGGGACGTATAGAATTGGAACTTACACCAGGTATCTCTTAAAAAGTTTTTGGTCAATAATAAGATTGTCCAGGCAGACCCATTGACAGCATCATCCAAATTCTGTAAATGCTGCCTGCCACATGGCATCTCAGCAAAGATTATTCCAGGTTTGATGCCGAAGTCATTTTCCAGAAGATTCTGGACTCGGAGGGCTTCGTCTGTGTCTTCTTCAGCATGCAGTATCACAAATTTGAGGAACACCTCTTCTTCTGCTTCCTCTTCTGGCATCTCCTCCACTCCCTTGGCTCCCTCCTGCTCCCCTGTTGGCATCTCTGCTGTATTGCTATGAGCAGCAGCGTCACTCAGGGACGTTTCTTCAGATTTCTTGGAATCTGACTTGTGCTGTCTTTGACTCGTGTCCACACTGTGGCTTTTACCCCAAGTGAGAGAAAGAGGGCAGGGATCCGTTTTAGACTTTCCGATACCCATTATAAAGATCCAAATCAGAATAGGAAAGCTTTATTTCTCAGCATTTCATTTCATTCTAAAAGGAGAAATAACAAAGCAGAAGAATACCGTAAACTTAATCAAAACATTAAAAATGGAAAATTTCATTCACCCCGAAAACCTCAAAAAGATTATAATATAAAGTTCTCTAAGAAAGAATTGCCAAACAGATCATTGGGAAATGAAATCACTGGTCTTTTTTGAGCTTCACAAGGGCTACCACAGGTAGTCAAAGGTAAGTTAAACAGAGGGTCCAGTTTAATATAACAGGAGACATTTGGAAATTTTAAATCGTATTATAACCACACTATAAACCTCCAAATTAAAATAAATTACTTTGGTATTTTAGAGAAAAGGTACCATATCAACTCTACCCATATGGAGTTTAAATCCAACTTCTCCATAACCAAATTACTGTGTAAGCTAGAAACAGGAAAACCTAAAGAAACCAAATATTCCAACATTAAACACAAAATTTGTTTTTGTATCAAACACAAATACAAAACAGAATACAAATATCCTAAAGGTGGCTAGCAGGCAGCTCTACTGACTCAGAACAAAGAGAAGATCTGAAATGTCAAATGACTTGTTGCCCAGAATTCATGGGTTCAGAGCCTTTTTGTTTGTCTAGGATCAGGCCATGTTGTAGTGGGGCTCGTGCAGAAACTGTAGTAAGGATTGTGAAAAGTAAGGAATATATTTTCCAGCTAATCTTGGGAATACTTAAGAAAACATTTATTCACCTAGGGAGAAATTAACATCTTGGTTTGGAAGTGAAATCTGGAAACAAAGCCTTGTGATTTTCACCCGTGAAATTAACAAATAATCACTGTAGTCTATACTTGTTCTTTTATTTTAAAGATCCTAAATTCAGAGTGTAAGAATTAGATCAGCTGTGAAAGAAAGGTACTCCATGTAAATCTAATTTAAATAAATCTTCAGATAATGTTGGCAGTGTTGTTAATATAACCCCCAAACAGGCAGTTTCAAGGGGGGTTCTTTTTTATCAAAAGACAGAAAATTTAGAATAGATAATTATAAATTCCATGTTTTCAAACTATGGGCCCATAGGCTATATTCTAAAGCATTTTTATTTATTGTTCGTTGGCAAAGACCAGAGTTCAAGAAGAAATCAGAATTTTATTCATTATGACCTAAGTAACATAGCTACATATACCAAAATATTTCAGGTTTAGAAGAAACCATTCAGCAAAAATGGTGAAAAACTGTTATGGGAAGAAAAAACAAGGAAAAACACAGAATTTTTTTCTAATGTATATATGGAGTGAAAGGGTTTGCTACTGCCTCTGAATAGTGAAGGAATTGCTGGCTATTGCCTGTCATTTATTCTGTCTGTACTTCAGGTTCTGATCCACAGTATATTGTGCCAGCCACCAAGTGGTAGTCTAAGGCATGACAACCCTCCAATGCTATTGATATCCCAATTAATAAACCTAAATGAACTCAGACTCTCTTCACTGGTTAGGATTAACTGCTGACTTTTTTATTGTATCATGAAAAAAGTTTTACCATGCAGAATTGCGAAAGAAGTTTCCCCTGAATTAAAAAAAAAAACTATGCAGAGAAATCTATTAAAGCATCAATTAAAATGATCTTCACTTATTCGTTGAGATAGGTTTGTTAAACCAACTTAACTTCATTATCTTAATCATTAGTTGCTGCAGATGAGTGCATGTGAAGTAATATAAAAGATTTTCACTAAAAAGTGTTGAAAACTTCTAAGGTAAAATGGTGTGTTGAGTCAGAACACAGAATCTTTTGAGAGAAATAAAAATAAACAACCAAAGAATTATATTATGAATAAAAATTACAATTTTACGTCTCATTTTTCTTAAACACTGGTCAGCAAAAAACAGCAAAATACTCCAGAAATCTACGATGTGCTGTTCCAACTCCCAAGTACTCCTGCCCACTCCCACCCCCCACCCGAAGCAGACCAGCGAGAAGAAAATTAGTGACAATGTCTGAAAACTTCACCATAACCTTCTAATTTGGAGAGGAGAGTAAGGAGTTAGCCAAGGGGAAAAGATGCGGGAAGTTCTGCGCTGGAGATCTGCCTTTCCCACCACCACGTGAGTCAGAGATGGGGAAGTGGTCCAGATTCTTCACAGGGGTTCTCAAGGCTGGAAGGAAGCGGTGAGAACCTGACTGTGCTCACCCTGAGCTAATTAACTCCATCAACAAAGAGAACAGAAGGAAGGCAGGGAACGCAGAAAGAAATAGGGGAGGGGAGAAGGCTGGCACAGAGAATCCTGCAAAGCCTCTTCAATGTCCTCCTCCTCCAACAGGGACAGTTAGCATCAGGGTTAAAACACTGAGATTTCAGCTCCTTCCCCTCATCTAAGCGGGAGGAGAGTGAAGGTGGCTGCAAGGGAGAGGCACACAGGATCACTGTTCACAGGAATAAAAACGTGTGTGTGTGTGTGTGTGTGTGTGTGTGTGTGTACATTTTTTTATTTACTTTTTTAGAAGGGTAAACTTTGAAAATATTTATATTGAAAAGTCCCACTCCCATCCTTGTCTTTCCCATCCATCCTGTTGCCCCCATGGCCTCTTACTGGTGACCGCTTTTATTAGTTTTTCCTATATCCTTCCAATATTTCCTCATGAATACATGTATTTTTTCTTTCCTTTTTTTAAAAAAAGTATTAATGTATATATACACATACACTGCCAAACAGCAGTAGGTAGGTAAGTAGATAGACAGATAGACAGTAGATGGCTTTTTCCCTTAGTAATATAACTTCAGAGCCTTCCATACCAGCACAGGGAGAACCTCCTCTTATTTACATAATCTCGTAGCATGTGAATGTACCATAACTGTCCCGTTCTTCAGTATGTGATTTGTTTTCAGTCTACTACTATCATGAACAATGCAGCAATGAATAACTTTGTACAAAGGTCATTTATGTGCACGGTCATCTGCAGAATAATTGCCCTAAACAGGATTTCTGTATCAAAGGACAAATGCATTTGTCATAGTGATAGATTCGGCCAAATCGCTCTCTGTAAGATTGAACCTTTTCCGGTTTGGTTTTGCTTTTCACTTGACAGAATGACACCTCCACCTCCATCCCTTGCCCCAGAAAAGATCTAAGACCAAAACTACCAATTACTATTGACCACAGCCCAACTGAGCTAATCACATCCCTTCAGGGCAACGGAAATGTGGAAAGATACAACCCATCAGAATGGAGCCCTTAAACTGAAGTTCTGAAGGGAAGATCAACAGGTCCAGGATAAGAAGGAAAGAGTCCAGAATGTATCCACTCTATATCTAGGCAAACAAAGGTGCCAAAGGAATCCCCCCACATTCAATAGGAGTAAGATGAAAAGAACAGCACAGCATATATGCACACTGGGCAAGTGCGCACATATGTTACAGGAAATAAGAAAGAAGAAGAATCAGAGCATGCAAGAGACAAATAAAAAATTCCATTCTCATTAAGACTACGTGCTCTGGAATCAGACTGCCTGAATGTAAATCCCAGCCCTACTATAAAAAAAACTGCAAGACTTTGTACAAATTACTGTACGTGTATCTCTGTGTTTGATTTCATCATGTGTAAAATGGTGATAATTATAATACCTACCTTTAAGGTTTTTGCAAAGATCAAATGGCTTAGAAGAGTGCTCCATAAATGTTAGCAGTTAATATTGTTACTAAATACATAATGAAGAAGCTAAAGAAAACTTTACGGTTTCACTTTAGTAGCAATAAGAGAAGGCAGAACTAAGCTGTGTGCCTACAGGGGGCTGAGTCGGTGTGGCAGAGGACACCTGCAGAAGTTCCCTTTGACTGTTTCATTGTTCTCAGTGAAAGAGGAAGCAAAACCCCTTCCTTAGGACTGCCCCAAACCTCAATCTCATTTTGCAGTATAAACGATACAGGATGGAGGCTACTGGAGATTACCATGTCCACAAGGTTATTATTCTTCCTCAGCCCCACCCAATGCTGATTAGTGTCTGTGTGTACTCTTGCTCCCAGCAGAAGACTTCTGTGGCTGGAGGAGAGTGAGGGCAGCACCCGTTGGGTCCTATCCCAGGACAGCCCCTCTCCATGCAGAAATTTCCCAGGAGGTTCCTCAGGGTGGTTACAGCCATCAGCCCTCTCTCCCCTGTCCCAAACTAAAAACTGAAACTTCAGTGTGAATTTCTCTTTCATACAAAGTTTACTTTCCTCACCAAGACCTTTGTGAGAGTCAACTGTATGTGTCCGCTGGGCTAGGCTACGGTGTCTAGTTGTTTGGCCAAACACCAGTCCAGATGTCGCTCTGAAGGTATTTTTTAGGTGAGACTGACACTTAAAGCAGTAGACTTTAACTGTAAAAATAATGAATCACTCTGCTGTATACCTGAAACTAATATAATATTAATCAACTATATTTCTATTTTTTGAAATAAATAAAGCAGTAGACTTTGAGTAAAGATTACCCTCCATAGTGTGGGTGGAACTTACTCAATAAGTGAAGGCCAAGCAATACTGAGCTTCCTCAAAGAAGAAGGAATTCTGCCTTGGGATGGCAACATAGAAACTCCACCTGAGTTTCCAGCCTTCAGACTCAAGACTGCAGTCACCTCCTGTCTGTTTCTAGCCCTGCAGATTTGGGACCTGCCAGCCCCGCCAGTCACATGAGCCAATTCCTTAAAATGAAATCTCCCACCCTCCCTCCCTCTCTCTCTATAAAACCTACTGGTCCTGTATCTCTGAAAAACCCCAGTACAGCCCTCCTTAAAAGTTTGTTGCCCTAGAATTAAGAGTTACTGTTTCCATTTAAAAAAAAATTTTGACCACTTGGGAAGAGAGGCTCCCAAAAAGCAGTTAAGTAAAACAATGATCAGTAATAATTTGATAATAAAATACATATGCATAAACCATTCTCAACCTGTCCATGCATTTACCACAGAAAAAGCTTATGTGTTTAAATCACTGCCTCTGAAATTTCACACATTTAACGAACATTTAGGCATCTAGTACTTGGATCCTTTAGCCCTGGAGAACTTTTCAGTTGTCTTTCCTATCTGAATAGCACCATCTTGTGGGAAATACATACAAAATTAATAGTTTCTTCCCTTAATTCAATTAATAAATAGGTTTTGTCATTATTAATAAGGGTTGTTGAAAACTTACTCTGCACCAAGACGTGCTGGGTTTTAGGGATGTGGACCCAGGATAAGCAGATGATTAGGACTCATTGCACTGCTGCTTCATTCAAATAACAGGTGCTACCAGAGCACTCAGGATGGACACGCAGTGGGGAGCACTGCATCAGTAAGGCCGAGAGGCGGACGGTTTCCAGGCAGTGGGAGCGGCATTTGCAATAAAAAACCACTGAAGCACCAGAGGGCACAGTGTATTAGGATCATTTTGCACCAGGTGTTTAGATGGCTGAAGTCCAAATATGCAGGGGTGTGAGGGGAGAGGATAGTGGTGAGAGATAAGGATGGAGAGATAAAAAGGATTAGAGTGAGTAAGGAACCTAGTTTACTTGGTTCAGGACTTTGAACCTGATCGTGTTGGCAGACAGAGAGCCCCTGGTGGGTATGAAGCAGGGGAGTGACACGATCTGACTTGTTTTAGACAAGAGTAAGGAGACTAGGCTTAAGGACTGTAAGGCCCTGGATGGGGAGAACAATTAGTTGAGAGGCTGTCACAGTAACCTAGATGAGAAAGCAGAGCCCTGAACTAAGGAAGGTATGGTGGAGATGAAGATATGTAGGAGGTGCCAGGGGTTGGGACAGAGAAAGAAGGATCAAGTACACTTCCCAAGTCTATGCCTTGTTACGTTCGCTGAGTCGTTTGCTGAGACAAGCAGGGTGTGGGGGTTGGATGTAGCTGACCAGTTAATCCAGTTTGGGACACAGGGAGCTTAGGGTGCCTGTGACCTGGAAGAGGAGCTGTCCAATAGGTACTTACACATGTAGGTCCGAGGCTGAGGAGAGCATCTTGATGGGAGATAAAACCTTGACACTAGCTCAAATCTGTGAGTAACTGAAACAAGTAGAAAGAAAAGAGAAGGAAGAGAGCTGAAGACAGAATCAATGCCTGAGGGGCACCTGGAGGAGGGGGACCCATAAAGGAGAGGGAGGAGTGGCACCCGAGCAGCAGGAAAATCAGGCACAGAATCCGGAAGCCAAGGCAGGAGAGTACCTCGAGCAGCGGTCGGCGTCCAAGGCATTGAGCCCCTTGAGGTTCACCGGAGCAGTTACAGGGGATGGTGGGAGTCACCAGTATGCTCAAGAGTCTAGAGGATGAGGGGGCGGGGGAGGGGAAAGCTTAGCTAAGAAGAAAAGAAGCCAACAGCTACAAACGAACATAGGGTGGGGAGAGGATTCCATGAAGAGAGGAGAAACTCGGAATGCTTGGAAACGGAGGGAACTGGCTAGTAGAGAGAAAGGATGAAAAGTATGGATGGCAGCTTCTTAGAGCTGAGCTGTTCTCCTCTTGGTCACTGGGCAGCTCTCTCTCCTACTCCCCCTTTCCCTGGGAGAGGAGAGAGGCCACCTAACTCCTGAGGGTGCTAGGTCCCGGGGTAATGTCTGTGATGAATACTGCAGATGATGTGGCGACCTACAGAACTTTGGGTTTTAGCTTCTTGGGAGAAGGTGAGTGCACTTTGCTTTTTTTAAAATCAGGGATGGCTGCATTATATTGTAAGAGAGCACATTTCTTGCTGGAGGTTTAGGTGTGGAAAGAAGGGAAGGTATGGATATTAAGTAGCCAAAGGGGCGTTCTGTAACAGATCCTGCAGATTTGCTCACGCAAAACTTATTCCAACTTCCTTTTAGTGAACCTCCCTGTACTTCCTGTACCACAAGTACTAAAAGCTCTATTTCCTAGACTTCCTTGTAGCTAGGGTTCTGGATGTAATTTAAGTTCTGCCAATCAGATGTACTTACTAGTGTGAGTTAAATATGAAGGGAGGCAGAGCATGAGGCAGTGACTTTGCTGGTTAAGGCTCTAGCAGAGTTGGTGTGATTCAGAGCTGGCAGCTTGCTGATCTGGCGGGAGGTTTCATGGTTGTGGCAAAAGCTCCAGCTCCGGACTTCCCTGGTGGCGCAGTGGTTAAGAATCCGCCTGCCAATGCAGGGGGCACGGGTTCAAGCCCTGATCCCGGGAAGATCCCACATGCCGCGGAGCAACTGAGCTTGTGTGCCACAACCACTGAGCCTGCGCTCTAGAGCCCACGCACCACAACTACTGAGTCCCCATGCCGCAACTACTGAAGCCCGTGTGCCTAGAACCCGTGCTCCACAACAGGAGAAGCCACCGCAATGAGAAGCCCGCGCACCGTGACAAAGAGTAGCCCCCACTTGCCGCAACTAGAGAAAGCCCGCGCGCAGCAACGAAGACCCAACGCAGCCAAAAATTAATAAATAAATTTTTAAAAAGCTCCAGCGCCACTACACCCGTACGGTAGGTGGTGGTCTGAGGTATTCCTAGAAACTCAACCTGGACTCTAGCTCTTCAACTTACCCAGTGATACTGTACATTTTGTAATATCCTCTAATGCACACTTTTCTGCTTCAACTAGCTATAGTAGACTCTGTTCTCTGCAACAAAACTATGATTGATACAACATCCAAATCCAGGCCAGGGAACTACAGCAGGTCAGCAGCAAAACATGGTGTGCCACCTGTTTTTATAAGTAAAGTTTTACTGGAAGACAGCCATGCCTATTCATTTCTGTATTGCCTATGGCAAATATCATGCTACAGAGGCAGAGTTGAAGAATTCCAACAGGAGCCGTGTGGCCTGTATTGCCCGTGGTATTTATTGTCAGGACCCAACAGAATAGACCTGAGCCAGCCAGACAAGGAACACGTAGACTTTTCTTTCAGACTTCTTCACACTGGAAATATTTTATTAAAATAAAATCCCAACTAGGGTGATCAATATCTTCAGGAATAGGATGGGTAGAATTTGAATCCACCTGTTCTTTATTGAAATAACATTATTGAGAGTCAGCTGTCATTTATTTATTTTCTTCTTTTGGGACTTGCACAGAATCCATAAGGATAGCAAAGGCCCAGTATAAAGGAAAGGATTAATTATCAAATACTACCCATTGACACTTACAGTCTAACTAAGCTAGTGCCTGTGTTTTTCATTTTAGGTACCAAAGCCTGCATTAGAAATGTTAAGGATCTGTAGGAGTCTAAAACCCTATATCTTCCCTTCATGGCTCTAGTCACACTACAATTAATTACATGTTTGAGTATCTGCTTAGTTTCTCATCTTTCCCATTAGACTGTAAACTCTATCAGAATTAACACCAAATCTGTCTTGCTTGTCACTGTATCTCCAGAGTCTTGCACATAGCCAGCATTCAACAATACCTTCTGAATGAATGAATGAAATTAGACAATTCCAAATATGAGACCTAACACAGTTTTTCAAGTTGAGAGATAGCTGAACAGATAGCTCTTTATCATCCCTAGCATATAAATTATTGACTCAATCAGAATAGGGACCATTCTATCCAAATGTATGGATTTTTTAATGAGCAATTACGTTACATTTTTTAAAACTGTGTGAATATAAATATGGTACATTCATTTCAAGATACAGCTCAAGGGTCATATTTGGCAGAATGCTTTTCCTTTGATCTCCAGGTTAAGTACTCCTCCTCCGGCTGCCCATAATATCTTGCTCATAGTTCTTATAATATGTGTTGTACAGCACTTTTAACTTGTCTTCCTTGCTGGCCTGGGAGGTAGCTTCCACCTCATTTTCCCAGACTTCTCCACCATGGAAAATGGCGCCATCATCTGCCCAGTTACAACAGCCAGAAACCTCAGGCATCACTGACACTTTCCCCTTCCACTCCTACACTTTCACTTCCAAGCTGTCAGCAAGCCAACCCGTAAGACACATCTCAAAATGTTCCGCTTCCCTCCCCACTGCATTTTCACTCTCGATCAACATCTCTCCCCTAGTCTACTACACTGCTCCTTCCTAATCGGTCTCCTACAGCCACTCTTGGTCAGTCTAATCCATTCTCCACCCAGCAGCCACAACGATCTTTTTAAGTACATACAACTGATCAAATTACTACCATTTACACCCCTGCAATGGGTTCCTACTGCTCTTAGAATCAAAATTTCTTAATATGGCAAGGATGCCCTGCATGATCTGGCTCCTTCAGCTCCAAGCTTATCTCGTGCTTTTCTTCCCTCTGCTCCCCCAGTTCCCTACATGTGTGTCTTTTTTTGTTTCTCAAACTTGCTCAGCTTTCTCCGGTCACAGGATCTATGGAAACATTTTATTGCAATTCTGAAGTATGAGTTACATGACTATATTTTCTTATTAGAGAACTTGTACATAGTATCATAGGCTAGCCAACATTCTATTGGAGGTACACAATCAAAATGTTCAAAAAGTAGGGAATGGCAACATAAACTATGTCATATTATTCATATGGTTGAACCCTATTAAATCATCAAAATGTTTACGAATGTTACGAATTATTTTAACGACATGAGAAAATGCTTCCATAACAATAAGTGGAAAAAACAGACTATAAAATAAAATATACTGCAAAACTTTGTAAAAACAAACTATAGAGAAAATAGATTGGAATGAAGTATACCAAAAAGTTAACATTGGTTAGCTGTGTATGGTAGATGTGTGAATGTACATGTATCTATATCTATACACCCTTTTTCTACGATGATAATGTAATCTGGAAAAAAGAAGATTTTTTAGTAAATACATTATTCTCTAGATTTTGTGTTTTTAAATAGAGGTCACATTCACTTAATGCCTCAAATAGTATATACCTTATGTGTCATATCTGCACATTTTGGATAGGTTGAGCTCACCTCCAGGTTTAACTGTTTGATCTCCTGTTTTTGTTTTTTTTTAGTCTACATGAAAATTTTCCAATAGTCTGGATTTGCTAACTCTAAACCCAACAGGGGTCCTCCAATATCTTACTTAATTACACATACTGGAAGGCAGAATATTCATCTCCACAGTACCTAAAACAGGTCCTTGAGCAAGTAAATGTTTAATTAATTTTTAAAAAATTGCTTCTATCAGGTAGAAAAACAAAAATACACAAACTGGTCTTCCCCTGGGCACCGTCTTTTTCACCTGTGGAGCCTGTCTCTTTTCTCAGCTGCTAGGAAGGTCCAGGTCGATGAGTGCTGTCTAATCAACATACAGAAGCTTGGGGCAGGAGATCTGATCATGATTTTCCTCATGGCTTTCCTTTAACCCTCCTATTCTTTGTTCCATATTCCAAATCCCTTTATTTTAAAATTTTATTTAATCTTCTATTATATATGTTTATTCAAGCATCTGAAATCCCAAATCTGAAATGAGAAAAAAAAATGTTTTTCTGTTCTTTTAAAAGAGAGGAAGGTATTGGGTTGGCCAAAAAGTTCATTCAGGTTTTTCTGTAAACTTTTTGGCCAGGCTAATAGTACCTATTCTACTGGTAACATCACAGAACTAGTTCCTTGGGATTAAAATGACAAATAAACATTATGTAAATTAAACGGTCTTTTATTCCCCAACAGCTTTCCGTGAAGATGAAAATATTGTTTTTCATTTCCATTCCCACATATTTTAAAAAGAGAACTGAATCTTGCTATGAATCTTGTTATTCTGACACTGGCTCAGTCACTACACAACTTAAAGACGTGTATAATATTCTCTGCACAAGTGCCTTCATTTTTCTTCTTCCCATTAAAACTACCTGTTTCTGGTACCACTCAGCAACACTCTGAATCAGAGACTACTGCTTCCCACTGAAGCAAAGGAACTGAAAAAAAATATTGCATATTCCTTCCAGTAAACAGAGTATTTTCCTTTCATTTTCTATATTTAAGAATGAGAACTAGCCTTAAAGGGCAAACCTTCTCCAAACCAGGAACAACATTTTATAAAAACACAGACGGTAAGGGCAAACTTGCACATTTTATCAAAGTGAGACTCAAGAGAAAGCTGCTTGTGCACTTTCAATATTAGAGAGTCCTAGCAACCAATAAGGATTTAACGGTGCCATAAGCTTCGTGGAATATTAGAGAACAGCGCTCAGTATCTAACAGCCACCAACCCAGAGGATCAGTGACAAGAAGATGTTACCAGGACTAAGGCAGTAACCCCTGAGACAGTATGTGAACAGGGGAGTGAGGAAAGTGAAGGTGTACAGCCTGCGATGGCCTAGCAGAGGCCTGCTGCAGGCAAGGAGAACAGGAGCAAGATCAGAGCCACTCCAGCTGAGAGGTCGGGGCCGGGGGCGGGGCGGGGGGAGGCAGGTGGGAAGCAGAAGATAAGACCAGGGGAATCAGTCAGGGGTGAGATGACACAGGGCTTTGAGCCATGGTAAGAATTTGGTTTTTATGATTCTGATAAGAAGCCACCAGGTTTTGAAGGGACGTGAAAATTCTGATTAGATATTTTTAAAAAACCACTGCTGTTTGGAGAAACACTATAGAGAAGCAAGGGTAGAAGCTGGAAGACCAAATCAGAGTCTTCACAGTTGTCCAGTAAAAGAGAATTGTGGTTTGTGTTAGAGAGGGCACATAATACGTGGTCGAAATTGAGCTATCTTTTCAAGGTAGAGTCAACAGAGTTTGCTGGATGCTTGGATGTGCGGTCAGAGCTGAAAAGAGGAGTCGATGATGATCCCTAGAGTTTCAGCCTCACTGAATGGCAGTAACATTTCCTGTGATAAGGAAGGTAAGTGAGGGGCAAACAGAAGAGGACTGGGTGGGTGTGTATCAGTAATTCTGTTTGGACATACTACATTTAAATGCTGATCAGACTTCCTAGTGGAGATGTTGAGCAAATAGCTAAACACATGCGTCTAGAGCTCAGGACAGAAGTAAAACTAGAAAGAAAAATTTGGAAGTCATCAGCTTATAGATGTTATTTATAGTCATGAAATATGGCTTGGGATAGAAATTGCCTTGGGAGAAAGTTATGGCTCAAAAGAGAATATGGCCAAGAACCAAGCACTGTGGCAGTCTAACAGTGGTTGAGAAAAGAAGGAAAAGCCTGGAGACACAGAAAGAGTGACCAGTGAGGTGAAAGGAAATGCAGAAGAAGGTGGTGGTGACCTGGAAGCCAAATGCAGAAAAAATATCAAGGAGGAGGGAGCGAACAACTGTGTCACAGG